ACTGCAGCCATGAAATTAAAAGATGTTTGCTCCTTAGAAGAAAAGTTATAACCAACCTAGACAGCATATTAAAAAGCAGAGACATTATTTGCCAACAAAGGTCCATCCAGTCAAAGCTATGGTTTTTCCAGTAGTCATGTATGAATGTGAGAGTTGGACTATAAAGAAAGCTGAGCACTGAAGAATTGATGCTTTTGAACTGTGGTGTTGCAGAAGACTCTTGAGTCCCTTGGAAGGCAAGGAGATCCAACCAGTGAATCCTGAAGGAAATCAGTCCTGAATACTCATTGAAAGGACTGATGCTGAAGCTGAAATTCAATACTTTGGCCACCTGATGTAAAGAATTGACTCATTAGAAAAGACCCTGATACTGGGGAAGATTGAAGGCAGGAGGAGAAGGGGACGACAAAGGATAAGGTGGTTAGATGGCATCACTGACTAGATGGTCATGAGTTTGGGTAAGCTCCACGAGTTGGTGATGGATAGGGAAGCTTGGTGTGCTGCAGTCCATAGGGTTGCAAAGTGTCAGACATGACTGAGAGACTTAACTGAACTGAGAGTTATTTAGTCAATACCTAACTACCAGTTAACAGGGATGAAATGGGTGGACGATTGTCAACAAAAAGGCCTTTAAAGTAGGGCTCAGTCTCAAGTCTATAAGGTGCTATGAAGTATTTGCCTGCTGTTTCTTCTATTACTTCAATTGTTTTAAGCACAATTAAATTTATTTATAAATTCAAATTAATATATCTATTGGATTGGCCAAAGACATTAGATAAAACCCTATTGAACTTTTTGGACAAGTCAATGTTATCTGCAGTCTAGTTCTATCTTTTATTGACTGCCAGAAGAGTAACTGGCACATTGGTATTGGCTGCATGTCATAAATGCAAATTGGCATAATCCTAGAACTGATTGTTTATCTAAATAAATACTTTTCACATTATTGAAGCTGTTTGACACTGAAGTTAGAAAACAATCGGCATGACCTATGTTAATAATATGAATTTGTTTATCAAAATCCCATTTTCAAGGTTGTGAAAAATTAAGACACAATCTAACCCTCATTTAAATATTCCAAGTAGATCATATTTTCCTGTAACATTTCATCACCATCTTTATATTTAATGGTAGATTAATATAAAGGCTTTTCAATGTATTCTTGAAATATTTTATTTGTACTGACATGTCTACATTATATATGAGTGATATCATATATAATATATTTTCAGGAAATATTCCATTAGAGAAAGAAATAGAGATTACCAACTCCAATATCTTGTATGACAGATAAGTTATGGAACAGAATAGAAAAGGTGACAATATATGTTGATATAAAATTTTATTTTAGTTGAATAATTGCATCACTTTTTTTTTAGAATTTTAGAATTTTTTTTAGAAGAGGAAAAAAGCATTTTTAGATAGTTCATAAGTAATATTGATTAGAAATAAATAATTACTGATAAGAAATGATTTTGAGTAGCTATGGTTAAATATGGACTTGCTTGCTATGTCTCCATATTTTGGATAAATGTGATAAAAGAAAAATGCTTTCTGACTTCATCTGAGAAATCTATCTTAAAAGTAAAAAAAGAAAAAAAACACAAATTTTCTCTCTGCTTTAAGAGCCACTCAAATGTAATATTTATATACTCATTTTGTAAGAAGCACATAGTACACATAGTAATGCTAAGGAAATACCGTTATAATAATCATAGGCTTTGACAAGCAAACATGACATCTGCTGGTTGAACAGGGAAATAATTCATAATTTTCCTTCATTTTTTATCATTCAGGCATTTTTGTGTCCTTCTAGCAGGCACACCAATTTTTTTTTTATTCTCTCTTATACTCTAGTTT